ACTTGATTCTATGAGTCATATACAGGTAAACATTACAACTTTTTCCCAGCAGAGAAACTCACAGTGCAGCCATGTTTTTCATGCATTCATGTATTTTAGTTACTTTTAATAGTGCCTTGATTCAAGTTCTTATTCTTGTAATTAACCTATTATAATCATTGTAACTATTAAGGTTTTTCTCAACCCTTTCCACTTCATTTCAATCAACTCTGTGTAACATTATTTATTACAGTGAGCAATTATCCACATGAGCCAGAACATGTTATTGTTACAGTTGTTGCTACATTACATACTTTATATACATCAAATCAACCATTTTCCAATAATACATAATCCCTGCAATAACCACAATTTACCTTCTGCCATTTAAATGTGTGTGTTAACGCGTGTTGGAGGATTTCTTTATTAATCTTATGCAACTTTCAGCTGATTCATACATAAAGAGTTGATCTGACTGCCACTAATCTGCAGGACACGTGTGAATCCACAGTTTTCCTCAACAGTTAGTCTGCCATGGGTTTATTGCAGCTGCTTGAATCAACGCGTGCTAATAATCATAATAATCAAACATTTGGACTTTTCTTACTTTTTCTGATCTTCACGGTTCTGGTCGGGGGAGAAACGCTCCGCCATGGTCACGTGATTTCGTGATCGTTTGTCAAGTGTTTTGCTCAGTTTTGTTCCCGTTCATCCCGTCTAGTGCACTCACGTCAAGTCCATTACCATTCAATATAAGACGTCCGGTGCAACCTTTCAAAATAAAATCCGTGTTGATCAACTTAATGGAGTTGACCTTTTGTTTTCATGCTCATACAGTTGTAAGAACAGAGGCCAGACAGCTATATATATGTGTGTGTGTGTGTGTGTGTGTGTGTGTGTGTGTGTGTGTGTGTGTATAATATCCAGACTTTTTTTGATTGGGGTTGGCCCAAGTGAGGCACTAACTTATGCAGGGGTGACAATGAAGTACCTGTAATCCATTACAGCTACATAAAAAAGACAAATCAGATAACAGTAATTTTTTTATGTTAACAATCTTTCCTTTTTCCATTTTTTCTGTTTCCATTTTATTTTTTTTAATGGTTACATTGCTCTGTTGTCTTATATAATACACTTCTCTCAATACTTCTTACTGACATTTATTTTCTCTTGTATTTATTTACATATTTGGTGTTGTGGTAATCCAAAAGTAATGGAAACTAATCAAGTTATGTAACTTTAATACAGTCATACTTGGATTAGGTTACTGACTAATTTTTTTAACAGATAATTTGTAATTATATTGCATTACATTGTTAAGTAACCCTCACAACCTTGAGTACATGTACACAGTGAAATGCTGCAGTGAAATATCACATAAGCAACACAGTCCAAGATACATTTGTCGACCATCCTGGACATTTAAAACTGTTTACTTCACCTGTTGTTGTGTTGGTTTGTAAACACTTTTATAAAGTTTTTTTTTTTTAAAAACTGATAAAACTAAAGTCTGGTTTAGTCATCAATACATTTGATTAGGCTGAAGGAGCGATAACCTATCATAGTTTAGGATAATGGGGCGGCCCAGGCCACCACTTGGATACACCCCTGCACCCACAGAATGTGTAGCCTATCCACAAGGCAGCAGTCATAACAAGCCTGTACAAGTAGGCCTGATTAAACACCTGCTTGATATGTGTCCATGGTAACATGTTGTTCTAGCCAGTCTTTTCTCTCTTTCATTTCACCTTTTATATACAATCAAATATCATACTAAGAACACAGTGGGGTTCAGAGTTTTAGAAGGATTGTTGGTATTTTTGTCCCAAAGAAAACTATTGTTCATCTTTTTTCAGGCAACAAACCTGTCTTGTGATGATTCACAAGCATGGCAAACAGCTGTCTGTAGTGATACATAAAGTGCCAAAGCACAGCACACAAAGTCTGCAAACTGTGTTTAAACTATAAACTGTGTTTACAGTTAACTGTGCCAAAAATGTGTGAACAAGTAGATACTCAAAGTTGCCGACACTGGTTACACTTCCCTGCTTAACAAAATAAAGAGGCAGTGGAATGTAACACTGAGTATAAACAAAGTGCATTAGTGTGAAATATTCAATAGCCTCACTGAATGCATAAGACAAAACAGAATTACAGATGAAAGACTCACACTGTAATGAAAGTAGAAAAACTGAGGTGAGCAAAAGGCAAGACAAGGTACATTTCATTTTTTTTTTTTTTTTAGCATAATTCATGAAATGCTTTACAGACATTTAAACTCTGAAGGGAATTGGAAACAAACTTTAAAATACTGAGTAAAAGAATGTTTGAACATGTTTATACATTAAGAGCCACTCTTGCTATTAAATTTTCTTTTAAAAAGACATTAAAACAAGACATAAAGGCCTCACAAAATGATTGGTATCAAGCTTGCTTTTGAAGGCAGCAGAGTTGGGAACACCTTAGATCCACTGGTAATTATAGATAAGATTACTACTTGACTGCAGCTCCACTATTTTCATAAAATATTCAAAAAAGAAATGAAACCCTCAAAAAAACTTATCTGCATCACATTGTAATGTGCAATGTTGCACTTTGACCACTAGAGAGCTGTAAGAATGTGTCAAATCTAAGTTAAAACACTTTTCAGCACTGATATAGAGATTTTCTAAATTAAAGTCAATCAAAATATTCTTTATGCAACGTGACGTGTAGCTGATAAAAGTATTCTCTCTGCAAACACCAATGTACAAGCTATTTCCCCTGTCCAAATTTCTTTTTCTCTTTCCTTTAATGTTACATTGTGTGTGTTTATGTCTTTCAAGCCTACCTGCTTTATAAATCTACAACCATTCTCAACTTTCAAATACATTAACAGTCATAGTCATCATTACCATCTGTAACATCAGCAGGGTTTTCAGCATCACTGTCATAAATCATTTCACTGAATTAAATTAAATCAGCAAGCATGAAATACAAAGACAGCACTGTCCAACATCGGCCTACAGTCACTTGTTTTAGGCTACCAAGCAGAAAAATAAAGTTGTGTCTCATTTCAGAGAAAGATTAATCATTAATTTAAAAAGAAAAGAAAAGGTGAGGACGTGCAAGTGGGAAGTGATGATCAATACCGGCTCCTTCAAGACCTGCTTGGCATTTCAGAAATTAGCAGAAATAGCAGTTAGCGAGAGCTAATATCAAATAAGATGAATTATTTTCTACATATTTAAAAAAGTGAACTAACAAAATAGTTAAAATCTCATTTTCTCCCAAACAAACACAATCATCTTTAATGCCAAGACACCATATAGGTCAAATTAAAGAAACAAGAAAAATTACAGTAATGATAAATGACAACATGCTCCCAGAGTAGCTACAATTAGATGTAGAATAAAAGTTCTGTGCACATTCACATCAAACTGAAACGATATTATTGATATGTTAAATCCTTAATGTGTAGTATAACACAACCCTAACCCTAATACGTTTGAACAAACAATATTGGATTTTACAGACAAATGTAGTTTGTAGTGTCTCTTAACTATACAATGACAAGATTTCAGATTTCAACACTAAATCATTCTACCAAATTGGTGCATATGAAGGGAAACGAAGCATGAATAACATCAAAATGAACTCTCGTCCACCAAACGCCAGTGTCTGTAGTCTTTATGATTCTGATCAGCACCGTCAGAATCGGCTCTAAAGGTCAAGTAGAGCTACAATTTGTCATTCACCAGCCTCTTCTGCTCAAAACTCATTTGTGAGTAAGTAAAGCAGCGCTGCAGATGACTTTAGGATTCCAGTCCATATCAAAGCTAAGGGACAAGAGAGGCATTTTATATGAGATACAAACGTTAATGCGTATATTGCTGACCTCACTTCATTAGGACATAATGAAACATTCACTTGACATTAAAACTGATTTCATATAATTCACTTAACAAGCATTTGACTTGACCTCTGTGAGCCCCAGTAGGACTGGAGGTTGACATCACAGCTCTACTCTTTTATTAACAGTTACAATGAGCTGATGGGCCCATTGCTGCCTTCCCTTCCCATAAACCATGTGATCCAATTCAGCACTCAAATAATCAAACAGTGATTTACTCCATAATAATACAGCCACACTTATCTTTGGATTGTTTAACAGAGATGTTGGAGTAGATCACGTCTTCTAACCTGTGAGGGCCTCTAGCACTCAAGACCAGTAGGACTGAACCATTTGGAGAGAGGGTGTATAAATAACTAACTAACGAAGGGAGCCCAATTAAAGTAAAGTACTTTAATTTAGAATATAACAGCTTCAGATGTGACCACATATCCACATGCTGGATGCAACACCACTCAGAGAAAACCTCAGTCCAGTCCTCAGTGCAGACAGTGTTCAGCACCACGGACAGCGACACAATACGTGTTTCACAGTTCGCCAGAGGTACAAGCTAATCTAGTGAACTTTAATGGGAACTCACAGACCACCGTACATCACGGTTTGCCTCGGCTGAATCGAGAAACTAATTGGATAAGAAATGTTGTTCTCAGAGATAAGGCACTATCTCTTACTAGTAGAATATTACTGATTTGGCTGTAATTAAACGTTATCATATCAAAGTCAGCTATAATTCAAACTCCACTGATAGCCTTTTTTAAAACTGTCTTTATAATATGCTGTTATAGGGACTTACAGTGTGAGCTGGGACTGACTTTAAGCCTATTTCTGCAGCCACACAACATTTATAGTGTAAATGCACAGTATCAAATGTTATGTCTTCATAAGGGAACTTAACACTTTCAATAACGCAACAGAATCTTCCATTCTGGAGTGAGATTATTGCATATCCGACCAAGTGCAACCTCAACTTTTTTTTTTATTATTTATTTTTTTTTTATATCCATTCCCTCCGAGCGCATCGCCCAATTGGTATGCGCTCAGCGGGGACCGTCTTTGTTTTCCAGCAGCGCCAGTCCCAGAATATGGCCAATAATGTTGCTGAGGGGCGGGGAGCAGCGCGGTCTGCAGACCCAGTGAGTCTGAGAGTCTGGCGGAGTGCCGAGGAGGAGAGGCAGCAGGCAGCGGTGGCAGAGATGGGCTCACACCTCTGAATCACAACTCAACCTCCAGTCGCTCACACCTCATCAAGGAATCACACCCCCGTCAAGCATCTCGGAGATCTGGGACGACTATTTTTTGTTTGTTTGTTTGTTTTTGTTTTGTTTTTTTATTTTTTTGCTTGTGGTGCTGCTTATAAAGACTGGCAGACTGAAGCTACCCTCAAGAAGAAAAAGGCAGGAGCGGGAAGGTTTACAGTTGCATTCCGACGCTCAGCACTCCTCCTGTCGTCTCACCTGCACGGCCGGTGGAGAGAGGTCCGCTGCGATAATAATGCATCCAGATAAGCAGTTACCTGAACTGGTGGCCGAGAAAAACAGCTTGGACCCCTCCTTTGTGCATGCAGTGCGCCTGCTTGCTGATGGTAAGTCTAATCTTACTCTCGAGCCTTTTGTGGCACCATGTTTCCCTGCAACTGAAAACACCATTGCAACCATTGAGGAAGTGACCTAATGTGAGCTTGTTTTAACACACTACCACCTTGACTCTTCATGTTTGCTTGCTGGCTGTGATTTGGCTGTGCTGTGTGTTGGATGCAGGAAGGGTAAAGGGGGGGTTGGAAGAAGCTGCTCTTTGGCTCCAGTGCACAACTTTTCTGAGGGTTTTCCACCATCGAGTGAAGAAATGCAACTTGAGCAGAGAAAGTAAAGTAGAATCAGAGAGCCATCACCTCTTATTCTAACCCGCTGGCCCTCCAAGGTCAACTAACTGGCACACAACACCCGGGTAATAAACTGGAAATGTGCAGCTCTCCAGGGCGAAAAGGGCGAAAGGTTTAATTACCTTAATTGTGTGATTGACTGGATTCAAACTGTGCTGTTAATCCTCGGATATGTAGGCCTACTGCCAGCTGCTCTCCAGTCACCATAGAGTAAGATCATGATTGCTTGCTGATTTTGCAAACACAATTAGTGTTTTATTATATTGTCCTTATCTGACCAAAACAAGCTGCAGGGCTTGCTTTTCTGCAACATCCGTCTTAAGATTTCTTGATTAAAAATGAAACACACTGACCAAATATCATCGTCAGTCAGATAATTTAAGGAACTCCATATGAGACAGTACAGGCTGAAGTGCTAATATCAGTTTTAATAGGAGTCATAGATTCTCATCTGGCAAAAAAATAGTTTAATACACTATTTAAGTGAATGAAGTTTAGCATGAGAATCAACTTCTCTTTCCGTCACTACTTGCAGTAACTGATATCAAGGTCACAGAGGGGACTTAATGCCACTGAGACAGATGTTCTACAGTCTTTCCTCTGACTTAATGTAACAGTATGTCTAACAGGGCAGTATAATCAAGCTTGGTATGCAGCATATAAAGAACTTCTTCATACTGCTGGTAGCCTTGGTCCTATTCACATGCTGAGAATGTGTCACTTTTGATGGAGAACTTATCACCGCAAAGCAAACATAAGACCTCGGCTCAACAGATTCAATCCACAAATGTAACTTTAGTATTTATCCGGTCCAGATCCGGACTTTGTGTTCTCTCTTGCCTTACAGCACCTGGTAGGTGGAAGTGTAATCTTAAAAATGACACTAATAACTGCTTGAGTGATGTGTTATTGTGGTGAATGGATGACTGAATATATTTTTTATTATAGCGTCATAAACCCAAAGGTGCTCAGCACACATGAGCTAACAGGGCTTACATTATATACAGCGGCAAGAGAAAAGAAACAGGAAAGCACGCAAAGACAATACTGTACCCTTGTATGGAAACATAGTAAATCAGATATAAAATGACCAAATTAAACACAAAATGCTTTCACATGTTGTCTGCAAGCCTTCATCAAGATCTCATTAAAGTGAAACACCCTGTGCTTAATGTTAACATGTACTATCTATATGAATCACTTTCAAATTAGTTTTGAAGTCACATTAACCAGCAACTTATTCCTATACACTGTAATTCTGATTTTAATCATGAGATTGTTCCTTTTGAAGGCAACATCTGACCCCGATAATGAAAGTCATTAATTTGTTTACTTTGTGCCCAAAATGTTGCTTGAACATTAATTTCTAATCACTTTTGACATGTTTGTTAAAAGAGGTAAAGTCAAGCTGTATGTTAGATTAATACGCTCTGATTGATTGGACAGGGTGTTTGTGCTCTGGTGCCTCTACCCCTTGAGCTTTTTCCTGTTGAAATGTGTTGATGAGACACCTGACAGTCTCACTCTTGTCGCTAACTGTGATACAGATGGGATCATCTGTCACACAGTACACTTTGCCAAATTTACTCATGGCTGATTCAAATAGCCAGGTTGCAAACCAGAAATCTTGTCTTTATAATATCCGCCACAGTGAACAGCAATTAGCATGTTTTGGTGTTATGTATTTGTTCACTTACTGACATTCAGTTAAAGCAGTGTTTGGGAATTAATGGATACACTTCACTTGCAGTTCCCCATAATACAGTACAGTAAAAAACAGAATACACTGCAATAGGTAATAATACATTGCAATAGAGTAGCATGTATTTCTCTAAAAAGAATCCAGTTTGCAAGGTCAACACAGAAAACAGTATGCGTCATAAACAACACTGGACAATCAGTATAATAAACTGTCAGTTCAGACAGTATCGTAGTGTCAGCTCTGAAAATGTTCAACATAATCAGCCGTGGGCAGCATGTGAAATAATGCTCATAATTTTCACCACTTTCACACAGTTGTTATCATTTTTGTCAGTCTTTGCTCATGGATAATGCAGAATCATGCATATCAGTGGACAGCAGGATAAACCGTGTTTACAGATTTATAGATTCACAGCTATTTATCACTGAATAGAAAAAGCATGTAATCCTGCATTATTCACATCATGCACAATAAACAGCATAACATGGATTTACCATGGTCTCAGTTAACAGCTCCATATTTATGAAATGAATTACTTATGTGTTTAATTTATGTTGCGTCTTAAGTCATTTGTCTGTCTATGAGCAGATTTAAAGCTGTTTGGGACAAAGCTCTTCCAGGGGGTGGGTGGGGATAATTCTCTTTCAGAGCGGAGCATGAGCTTCTTGTTGTCTTTTATAGTGAAAGTAATAATAAAACAGTGAAGATTAATGGAATACATACAATACATAAAACTGCAAAAAACTATATATATTAGTTGTCAAGCAGTCATCCCACTTTCCACCAAGAACTCTTCCTTCTTGGACACAAAGTCAGCTTATTTCATTCCTTCATATGTTGTAATTTAATGGACCTTTGACTAAAGAACAGCGTAGTTGTTTTAAAAGTGGGAGGAAAGAAAGCCTTCAATAGCTCCCAGTGGTTTTCTTTGCAAGACCTGCCTACATGTCACGTATTCCTGTCTTGGGATTCCTAACAAACGAAAAGCATAAAGACAGACAGTGTGTGCAATGTTTCCATTTTTAGGGTGAATCGGACATTTCTACACCTCTTTTTTTTTTACAATCACAAGATCTACAAAAGCATTTCAACAGGTTATATAGTAATAGTTACATCTCAAATGCCGCCAGTGCTGTGCTGCTAGCACAGTGACAAGACAAACACATCTACATGAGATTTGAGTGATGTCTTCTCTGAATAAAATCTAAGTATAGATATGGAGGGGGAACAACAACACCATGACTCATGACAAGTTAAATATAAGAGAGCATGCATTTCTGACATCTGTTCGGTTTACTACAGTGTTTTTACTTGCAGAATTCAAGAACCCTTTAATCCACATCATATATAAGTTGTGTCTTCTTGCTTTTAGCCAAACTTCTGTTTTAGCACTCAAGTTTTTGAGTACCTTCTTGTGGTTCCCATGTTTGGACACAGGAAGAAATATTCTAAGAAAAAAATTGAGTAACCAGCAGTTAATTACAGTGTTACTCAGCTTCTACTTGCACACATTGTATATGTAAGAGTAAATTCTATGGCAGAAAATGTTCTGCTGTTGAAAATGCTCAATCGAGGCTCTATGAAAATCAAGCCCACTCCACATTTTGAACAGTGACCCTTAAACTTTCATTAAAAGTAATCAGACAATACATGGACCTGTGCAATGCACTGCAGCTGTTTTTGCCTTAGTTTTGGTCCGCTGATAATGAAGAGCAATAATTAGAAATTGAGATGGTAAGCTTGAATGAGTTATGTAGACTTTAAATTTAAAGAGTCGCCACTATTTGCATGGTGCTGAATACAATCAATTTACAAATACATACTGCAGGAGCATACACAACACACATATACCTGACATGTCTTACATTCTGACAATTGATTTGGATGATGCTTCACCACAGAGTGGAGTTCTCTCTCTAACAATTGATTTTCATTTAATCTATGTCTCTCTGTTGTTTATAAATTGTTGCTCACATTTTCAGTGTATCCATTACGGCTCAGTATCCAGCAATGACCCAGCTCATAGCAACAGATAAACGCCACCCTATGTGGTATGACCTATGAAAAGGACACAAAAATTACATTTCAGGAGAGTGAGACATTGCATTACATTTTCAGCATTTAGCCGACACTCTTATCAAGAGTGACTTACAATGAGTGCATGGGTCGAATAAGATTAAATTCCAAGGTCGTGAACATTTCAAGAAAAAGAAATGAGTGGATGAGCCGCAGCACTCAGACAATAGATATTAGATATCAGATTATGTTACTGTGCCTCTTCAGTGTTCACATATAACAGGAACGTTCTAAATAAAGAAAAAAGACAGACAGAAATTAGATTTTTGTAACAGAGGCATCAGGTACTTGGACAGAAGCTAAATTAGTCTCTTTATGATGCTCATAATACAAATCTTGTGGTAAATCACTTTAATTCCCCTGTAAGTGACAGATTCGGACCTAACAATGACTTTGTTAATTGTAAATTGCGAGGGTTTGTTCATAGTTTGTTCGTAGTCATACATTTACTCAGCCTCTGCTCAGGGTTTTTATTAATCACCAAACTGCTTCATGATGATGGAGGCTAATGTGCTGTTTCATCCAACATACCAGTAATTACAGCTTCACAGATTGTCCCATCAGATGAGGAAATCAAGGACCAGGATGCCAAGTGAACACAATTAGGACTGAAAAGAGATATACGTACAGATCATGAGCGACAAATTGATTAATGAAATGATCAATCAGTCAATCATTGCTGTACACTGTTTGCACAAATATTCATTTCTACAGCAGTGCAATAATGCATCTGATGTAAATAGGCAACTAACATTAACAGGGCTGAAGTTAAAGCACTAATCAAAGTACTCTATGATGCTCCATACTGTCTGTCTTTTTGAATATTTTTAAAGATATTATCTTTAAGAAAATTCTACAGCACTAAGTGTGTAGCAATCAAATTAATATATTCCCATTGTCCCTTTATCCACCCCTACCTAATGTC